TATTACTTGATTGCCTTTATTAAATCTTATATTATAAATAATTTAATTAATTACATATAATTATATCATTGTATTTATTGCGTACTACTGGACATTCAATCAGATTGCTATAAAATATCAGTACTGTATTGCTATAGGACCATTCACACATTAAGTAAATATAAAGGAAGATATTTATTAGTAGTAGTGATATCCTATCTTAATGATAGAAGAAGATGCATTTATTACGCAACTGGATTTTAATAATAAACAAACGAAATTGATAATTAAACACAAACAGATAATTGGTTGAAGTTACGGTTAATAATAACACCAAGAAGAACCTGAAATAACAAATCGTGATATCACTTTCGGAAAAACAAAATTTGGTGACTATAGAGAGGATGTGACTATAGAGAGATTTTTTTTACTATATTTATATGTAAATGGAAAAGCAAAATAAGGTGACTATAGAGAGGTTTGACTGTATTATTAAATTAATGAATATATAATTTTGATATACAAATTATATAAATATATATACAATATCATATATTATTAGTGAATATAATATAATAGTTATAATTATAATATATTATTAGTTATTATTATAAGTTTTAAAAGTCATAATAATGAGTTATTAATAATTAAACTAATATATTAACTATAGAAATTTTATATATAAAGAAATACTTTTGTCTTAAAGAAAAATTATCAATTAATCAAAATATAGCTAGCAAAATAACTTGTTCTATATAATTATTATATCAAAATTAATAAACTTGAAATCTAATTATATTAGTTTATAATTATTTTCCTATGCATAATTATTTTAATTATATTAATTGATTTAACTTATATCACCAAGAATATAAAGTACATTTAGAATATATTTATATTAAAAAGATTTAATATCTTTTAATTAATAATAATAATAATATATTTATTTATTATAAAAAGAAATTCTATTTAACACTTAATATTAAAAACAAAAAAAAAATTCTTTTTTAATATCTTATTATAAAAAAAGCATTATTATTATAATGTATTAATAATAATTAATAATTATCAATATGAATATTTATCAAAGATTATTAGAGTTATCAATTAATATTGATAGTTTAGAGAGATATTTATCAATTTTTATAAATATAATAATAATTATTAATAAATATTATCCTCAAAAATTTTCTGATAATATGTATTTTTTTGTCAATACTGAAAATAATACAATAGTTATTATAATGTAAAAAATAATTCAAAAATTTGTTTTTCAATAAAGATCATAATACATGTTACTTGATTAAAGCAATGTGAAAGCAAATAAAATAATGATCATTTTTCCTGATCTATATAAAAGAGAACAAAAATGCAAAATTTTCTTATGTATAATTTATATTGTGCAAACATGAATTAAAAATATATACTATAGATCAATTTTTAATATAATGATTTATACTATTATAAAAAATACAAATTAGTTATGAAGTGCTATTATGAATTCATAGCTATTATATAAAATTATATATAAAAAGCAATAAAAACTAGCGAATGCTAAAATACCTGTGAAAGCCTCCTGATTTCTTCTTCACCTTGTTTGATGTCACTTTCCAAGTCATCAATGATTTCCACAGATTCAGTTGATATTGAATGTGGTGGTGGTGTAGTGTGTATGTCCCCAGTGTCTTGGCGAATTTTTTTGAAAGCTCTTTCTTCAGAATCATCCTAAAAATATCGAAATATAAAATAATTAGTTCAGCTGATTCTCAATTTCTAGCTAAAAAAATGCTAATTGGTACCTCTTCCTGATCTCTTTTTTTCGATGCGGACAATCCAGCATTGAATGTTCCACCATTGACCGTTCCGATTCCTAGAGAGCTACCCTTAAATGTTGGGTAGTGTAAGTGTACTGAGGGGCCAGCGGTCTCTTTACTTTTTCGCGATTGCCAATCTCTTGCTAGCTGGCGATCAGGCCGAGTACCCTAGTAGAGAACTTGGGAAATTAGTAGTATCCTTGACTATGCCTTTACAATTTCTATCTAATTTTTTTTTCATCCCACCAGATCGACTTTGAGTCTTGAATGCAGATAATCTTGGAGATTTTCTGCACTCCGATGGGGCCAAGTGCCAGGTCGACTTCGAGTCTTGAACGTCAGACAATCTTGGAGATTGCATGCGCCCCAACACTAGCTTCGTGACTCGTCTTAGAGACTTGAATGAACAGAAATCTTAGAGATTCCTGCCACGTCACCAATTCCTTATCAAGACTTTTAGCGAAAAAAATTCTTGTTCTTGCCTGTTTATATCGATCAAACAACTCCTGTGCTTTTTCACGCTTTTTTCCATTCTCCTTTTTAATGATATTCTCGAGAGAAGTAAGGTAATAACCAATCTTATCAGTAAATAATTCTGCGTCGCATTCGTTCAGAAACCCTATAATAGTCCATTCGGAGGATTTGCGACCGAAATATTCGTGCACCATATTTTCCGTCGTGAGCTGAAAGACAAAAAGTCTCTGTAGTTGAATCGTATGGTTTTACAGGCGTTACAAAACAAGACGGAACCTATAAAATAATACGTTACAGAAAAGCGAAAGTAAGAATAGTAAAGGCGATAAAAATATTTCGCCAGATAATCAGGAGATAAGGGTTATACGAAAAAAAACTTTTCACAAAGAAAATGCGTATGCCACGAGTTAGTCAATCAGATTTAGAATTTATATGGTGCAAGAAATCTTAACTCGACAATCACGTGACTTTGTTTCAATTTTCTGGTGTCGATCATATTATCACGTTTTTGTAATTGACCAATAAAATAATAGTAAATTTTAATCACGTGTAATGTTATGCGTTACAATAGAGTTGATAGAATTTACTAAAGACATTAAATTCAGCAGAAAATGTAATTACAGGACAACTTAAATTCGGTCATCAAAATGCTATTGGAACATAAAAGATGAAGGCATTTGATTAGTTTTTGAAGAGGACGTATTAATCCATAATTCTTTCTATTGTTTCTGGCAATCGACAGTGTGATTTATACTTATTAACAGCCCACTCAGCAACTCTACCCTCCAATCCCTTATCATATGCATCCATGTACCTCCACGACTTGCATGCAAATTTGCGAATAGTTGTTAGGGGAACACTAATGAGAACTTCGGGAATTCGTCTCAATAGGTCTGTATAATTATAATTATATAGTTGTCTGGTCTCCCGTTTTACAAAACCCCAGTATCGTTCTATGAAGTTGCATTCGCAATGAAATTTTGGATATCGTTCGAAGATATATCCTTTGTCAATAATTACTTCTTCCAGTATTGACCGTTGTTCACAAAAATCAGGTTGTAATGACATGATTCGTCGTGCACAACAGTCAAACCTTTCCGGATCAACATCATTATGTTTCTCAGAACATTGCTCACATACTAAACGAATATTCTTTGTCGGCCAAAGGTTACGTTCTTTAAGTACTTGTTTTATACCCTTCGGTTGCCCTTTCAGCTGATGATCATCTGGGAATATCATTGATTGTATACATTTCTCTCTGTGTTCATTAATGTACCAACCATCACGCATTTTAGGTTGCGCTCCTCCAGGACTCAAGTTCATTCTTGTTGTGATTAGTGTGTCCGCCGTCATAGCGTTGTGGTTGGTTGATTGATCAAAACAAAAAACACCAATACATCCAGGATGCAATACCTCAAATATAGGAATTGCTTG